AGCCCGATGCGGGACTCGATCCCGGGACTCCAGGATCATGACCTGAGCCGAAGGCAGTCGCTTAACCAACTGAGCCACCCAGGCGCCCTGCACTACAGCATTATTAACTATAGTTACCACGCTGTAAATTACATTCCTCACTTTCTTGATCAAGCTATTTTGGGTTCATCTTATACTCTTCCTGCCCCGTGCATGAAATTCGCCATTTCTCCAATGAGTCCAAGTTCCTTTCAGTGGGCAATGATATTCAGAAACTAAGATCTAGGCTCTAGGTGTGGCTTGCTGATATAGAATATTTTTGCTTTTAGGTTCTTTCAGCAGATAGCTAAGGAATAAATATACACACACATACCTATCTATATCTATTTCTCTTTCTTTATGTACACATACAGTAAATGTGAATGATGGATACCTGCAATCTAAATTCAACACTACACGGTTTGTTCTAATTTCCCTCCTTTTCATACCTGAATATCCTTTTCCAGCAGTAAGAAACTTGCTCCCATTATCAATATATTTACTTATCCATTCAATCCTACAACTTAGAGAAAATTATTTCAGAATACAAAAGTCCTTCTCCATTTTCTATGCTCTTATTGTTTGTGTCCCCATTTCCTCTCTACTACTTCTCCCTTGCACCATGATACTGTCCTTGACAATCTTTCCCAACTGTCTGTTTTAGGCAAAAATTAATTTGTGAAAGAACTGGTGGGGTAGATGGAAGGACATTCTAATCCCTGATTTCTTGCAGCTGACTTCAGAGGGTAGGATGGGAGACAGAGATGGAAATGAGAAAGTAGGCAGGAATGTACTGAGAATACTGGCTGTAAGTATAGGGGTTGTTACTAAATGATTCAAGTCTGGTTCTGGAAAGTAAGTGAGGCCAGGACCCATAAAAATGTGACAAGTACTGTGACCCACCTGGAGTCAGATTAAAATTATGTGACCTGACCCCAAGGACAGACTAAAGCACTCTATGTGTAGAAGCTGAGTATTTAGCATTAAAAGGGGGACCACTAAGTTATACTTACACCAGTTGAAATAGCTCCAGGTCTCCTGTGGGTTTTTGTCTGACCATGAGTAGCAGGCTGGCCTTTAAATCCCCATCTTTTCATGACGCCTTGAAAACCTTTACCAATACTGAACAAGATAAACATTAGAATTTACATAATAAACAGAGCATAAAATATTCCCAATTGTACATTTTCTTAATAGTACCTTAGAGTTTTAACAACACTGCTTATCTAAATACCTAGGAAAAGCTAAGCAAGAGAAACTGCAAATGAACATTTCTTTATCTATGTCCTAGTTTGCACCCTTTCCTGGAGCCTCATTCCATACAACATGATTAATTCAAGATGATGAGATAAGAACAAGTTAAGCAAAGGGAGTTCTTTCTGAGCAGGGAGTTTTATCATCATAATCCTGTGCAACAACACAGTAAAAGTGGTAAATTTTTAGACATTCCCAAGTACTCATAACTATGGAGCAGTCAATCGTTAAGATCCCCATCTCCTGGTATTCATGCCCTTCGGTAATCACCTCCCCTGGACTCCGGTTGGACTTAGGAACTCATGTCTAAGGAATAAACTATGGCAAAATGGTAAGATGTCACTTCTGACATTAGGTTATAAAGAGACTATGGCTTCCAACTTGGCACACTCTTCCTTTGAGGCTCTGAAGGAAGTCAACTGCCATTTTCCATACAGTGTCATGTGGCAAAGATGTCTCCAGCCAACAACTGTGGTCCTGAGGCTTGCCAAAGGCCACATTAGTGAGCTCAGAGGCAGTGCTCCCCAGGTTGAACCGAGATGACTGCAGCCTTGACAGCCTGACGGCAGCCCTGTAAAAACCTCTGAGCCACAGGCACTCAGTTAAGTTGTACTGGGATTCCTGACCACGGAAACTGTGAGGTAATAAATGTTCGTTGTTTTAAGCTGTTAGGTTTTGGGGTAATGTGTTAGGTGGCAGTAAATAATATAACAATAAATAAAACAATAATAATGCCCTAATGCTGGACAAGTTTTACTTTTATAAGATATCAGAAACATCTTGGTCTCAAGGTTTGAATAGAGAAACAGAATCAGAAACTAGCAATTTCTTAAAAATCTAGAATTTCAATTTTTAAATGAAACCGCTCTATTTTCAAAGTCCACTAACTAGAGAAGCATTCTGTGATGCAGGTAGAAAGCGGAAAATACTAAGGTTCAAGAATTATTAAAGTTTGTCTCTGTCAAATATATCAGTACGAAGATACAATAAAAGGGCTAGAATAAACTCTAAGACTGTACCGGAGATACTTTTATACTCTTAAGATAATACCTTCTTCACGTTTCACTAGATAATATGTCAACCTATTTTTATTTTTTTAAGATTTTATTTATTTATTTGACAGAGAGAGAGAGAAAGAGAGACAGAAAGGGAACACAGGCAGGGGGAGTGTGAGAGGGAGAAACAGGCTCCCCTGAGCAAGGAGCCTGAAGCAGGACTCGATCCCAGGACTCTGGGATCATGACCTGAGCCGAAGGCAGACACTTAACAACTGAGCCACCCAGGCCCCCTGAAGTCAACCTATTTTTAATGTCATATTTCCTAACTCTAACAAAGCTATTATAAGACAGCGCATAGTGCAGGCCACTAACAAAAAGGACCAAAAGTACAAGATAATAAAAACCATCTTATTTCCACAAGGACTTTGCTAAGCATTTAACAAAGAATTATCAGAGAGTAATGGATTGAAGTAAGCCCATACAAACAATTGTTTTAAATAAGTCAAGAATTCAGCATAAAAACAATGTAAACTATATGTAGAACCTAACAGCAGATCATCAAACTGCATGTCAAAAGTTACTTGTATATGAATAATTTAAATGTAGTTTACATCATTTTCTTCACATCAATCAACTGAACCATCACTTACGGTGTGCACATAATTCTGCTCTGCCTCAAAAACTCAAAATAATGCTTATTCCTGGTCAAAGAGCTAAAACAGTAATTTAACATATATTAAATGAAAAACCCACTATATATTTTGCAAGGAGATTAACATCTAAGGACAGAAACTATAATAAGCAAATATTTTACTGAAAGTTTGCTTCAGAAACTTAAATATTTCTAGTTAATGCTGAATTTTAGAACATATTTGAAAAATAAAAAGCTTGGCAATTTAAAAATAAAGAAGAAATACCTATAAAGTCATTGTAGCCTACGGATATTGTCTGGCCAATAACACTTTAAAGATAAAAAGAGGGGACTGGCAACACTAATCTAAACTGAACATGTTTTAAAAATACCACATTCTAACACTGGCCATTCTTGGTAGAAAGTTTGCTGGTACCTTCTGAGTTCTCAAATTGCTTTGCTTTACTTAGAAAGAAAGAGCGCTCATGTGTACACCATTAAAACAAATGCCAGGTAAATTACAGAAGACAATTTAGCTCATTTTAAGAGTAAATGCTTATAAGATGAAAGTGGTATCCTGAAAGGGCTAATTATCTGTCAGCTAATTACAGACTGCTTTTCAATCTAGCTCTAGAATGCATCATGGTTTTTATACTGGGTACAATGGGAACGTCTTCAATAAATAACCTTTAAACAAAAGGATAAATGATATGACAAATTATTGGCTTAATTCAGATTATGGAGAATAGAGTGCACCTGTTGATCCATGGGTGGTTCAGGTATCTATTCTACTAGTTCTCTCAGTTGTCACCCAACATGAGAACAAAAACAAAACAAAAGCCAAGAAGAGAACTGATCTATACTTAGCATACCCAGGCACACTTCAAATATAAAGTTTTCAAAGGTCACATAAAAGAAAACCTTTATATAACAATGATACATAGCACATAACACACACGCTTTATCTCCCCTACCCCTTTCCTGCTGCAGTTTTTAGTTAGCAGAAAAAAAGTCAAATAAAGGAAAATTCAAGTCAGAAAGAAAACAATGTGAGAAGTTCCACATTTAGTGAGACAGATCAGAAAATTAGGAAAACATAAAAATATATTTAGAACATTTATACTTGATAAACCAAAAATTCATTAAAAAACTCAGAGATCTTATTTAAATTTAGGAGACTCTATTGCCCTTGTTTCTCAGTCCATTGCCCCTGAGTACATTTTAACCTCAGGAAGGGCAGGGGATTATGATTATTTAACCCTTGTGTCCAACCTAGAAAAGTCAGAGTTATTTTGTTACTGGCTATAGCTGTGTCTTAGGAAGAAAGATAATTAGTTTCCTTTATTTTGTCCTGTAGTTTTCAAATGTTGTGTAATGCGAATGCCTTTTATGAAGTTTAAGAAGATGGTATTAAGAAAAGGGGAGGAGAGGCTTAAAGGTATGACAGTCATAAGTATCTCACAGAAGAAAATGCTTAATTTCATGTTTCCCACTGCATTCTTGAAGTCTCTAGAGATTACTGCTATGTGAATTTCATTCCCTTGGTACACTGCGTCAAAAGCACAAATGTCTACCAGCAGACACACAGGTTTTAATACAAACCCATCACGAATTTCCCCATTTTGTGGGAAAGTGCCCTTGACTGCATGATTCTAGATATATTTGTATAGGGGATAAAACAAAATGTCCAAAGGTGAAGAGTGCTCTCAACTCGATTCATTCTGAGTACTTGGAAAACTTCCCCTAAAATTCTCATCACTGAGGCTTTCCCTTGACATGGGCTTCTTTTATCTCTCTCTCCTTGGTATCCCTCTTTCTCCACTTTGTTAATTCCCAAATCCAAAGCCTTTTATTAAACTAATGTTTTATTATGAAATAACAAACTGGAAAGCAGAGAGACTAGTACAATGAATCCCAATGTGCCCCATTACCCAGGGTCAAACATTATCAACTCAAGGCCTATTCTGTTTCATCTATTCCCCTCCTCTGCAACTCCAATGGATTATTTTTAAACAAATCCCAGATACCATATCATTTCATTCAAAAATATTTTAACATGGGTCTCTTTTAAGGATCCTTTTTAAGAACAAAACCACAATACCATTATCATAATCTAAAAAAAATTAGTAATTCTTTACTATCAAACACCTAGTCAGTATTCAAATTTCTATGGCCTTTTTTAAAATAGAAAGAGTAGTCCTCTATTCTTCCTGTTTACCACCCTCTCCCGAATTAGTCTCAATCATCATTTCCTCCCTATTTTCCTGCTTCCCTAATGCTCCTTGAGACATTCCTTTCCCTTTGCTGCTACATGAAAAGATGGACTTAGAGACCTGTTGCTGACCCTCTTTTCAACAGAGTTTACATCAGGGGTTGGCAAACTATGGCCTGCAGTGGCCACTTGTTTTTGTAAATAAAGTTTTATTGGAACACAGCCTTGTACATTTATTTACTCATTGCCTACGGCTACTATGGAGCTATAATGGCAGAGCTGAGTAGTTTCAACAGAGAACATAATGGTTGTAAATCTCAAATATTTAGTATCTGGCTTGTTGAGAAAAAGTCTGCTGACTCTTGAGCCTATTACTAATAAGCCAGAGTTCCACAAACCTTGCCCTTTGGCAAGAATTCTGCTACTATCCTATTCCACAGATGTACTGACCATATCCAACCAGAAGCACCCTAGCCATTCAATTATAATGTTTCAGAAATAGAAACATAACATCTTTCTTCAAGCTATCCTCCTTCCTCGCCACTAGAGTGATTCCCAAGATGACAGTCTTTTCACACAAGCTGTCCCCTGCTTTAAAAAGCAAAACAGCAACAACAACAACAACAAAAAAGCAAACTAAACCATAACCTTAAGTGGTTCCCAGTATCTTCTTTAGCTTGGGGCATATAAGGCCTTTTGTAACTGGGTCCAGTCGACCTTTCAAACGCTGCCTATCACAACTCCTCATCATAGCAGATTATTCCGCGAACCCCTAAGTATGCCACTCTCTTTCCTGTCTTTGCTCATTCTGTTGCCTCAGCCTCACACGCCCATCTCACTGCACTGTCTTTCTACTCTTACCACGAAAAGATAACCGAAAGTGTTTGTCATCAAGCGTCATATGGGCTACAAAGTACTTGATTTTCTTTATTAAAAATAATCAAAATCCATACTCTTAAGTAGAGGTTTTTGTATCAGAACCATTTCTAAATTGAGCTTTCACGTTCTCTCTTTAGCTGATTTAAAG